TAGGAGAACAGAGGGCATTAAAATCAATAAGATATAGGCAAGATATAGTTGGTACGACAATCTTCTCAGACTGAAGGGCTAGTTAGAGACATATTAGAAGCAGAAACGGGAGTTAAGAGGGGCAAAGATATACCTGACGAGGTTATTGTTAACAAATAATTGGAGATGTGTAAGAAAAAAGTATCGAATCAACAGGGAATGGAACCTGAATGGACCGTCCGAGCATTCTACCTCCTAACCACCGTTGCTTCGTATGCTGGTCTTAATTATAAATTAATTTAAATTAAATTTTATATGCATTATTAGCAGATATCACTTGTGGTGCATAAAAAAAGTCAAACACGATGTACTAATTAAATTGACTAATAATTCACACCACAATGCAAACAAACTGGCGGACGCAAAGTTTTTTAAACTGTGTTTTCTTTCTGAATAAGTAAAATTACATATCAGCTACCCTAATACCATTATCAATATGTAACAATCTGACTGAACTGTCAGCCGCTTTCGGAACCACCTAGACAGAATAGGAATTACAAAGACTGCGACAGATACAAGGAGAAAACTAAATTTTTATGGTAAAGCAAAAATTACAATTTGCTGTAAAAATAGTAGAATTTATTAGGTAACTTGTAATAATCTCAATTTTGACATGTTCTTTTAAAAATTAATTGTTTCTTGCAATTTACTTTTTTACATCAACTAAAATACCAAATAAATTTATTTCTGCTGGGATTTTATTTTTACAAATTTGGGCCCAAATTGTAATCTTTATTATTTTCGCAAGGTCTAGTGGGATAAATTGTAAATATCGCTTTAATTTAGGTAAATTTTCCTTTTTCGTTTTCTCTATGTATACTGCCAAATACAGCAAGTACTGAATACCTAGTTTATAAACGATGTTCACAATAATGAAACTGTGTATCTTTATATTGAAATAAATGCATAAAAAGTAAACTATTATTGTGAACAATTTGGTAGTTGTTTTAAGTAAAAAGTTCGACTTACCACCACCCGCGAAGCACCTGTTATTTGACATCCCTCCAAACCTTGCGTTGCCCCATTCGAACTGTAACAAAAGAGAAACAATAAAACTTAGCCACTTTAATGTACATAACAAAACTGTATCGAATAAAAAAAGACTCGAGTGTATCAACCATTACCACTTCTTAGAAAATAGGTAGTACATTAGTAGTTTTAACGACACAATTTCGAAAGATATTTATCGCCTTATTATTGCACTGACCAAAATTTAAAACCTTTTTATGATATAACGACATACCATCTTCTTTTATGCCTCGCTGATTATAAATAACGTATTAAAAAGCCGTAAACTATGCTTCTCAACAATTAATAAGAAAATAAAAGCTGTAATCTATAATAGTTTTTCATACACATACGTATCTGGTAAAAATAATTAATATTTGCAAATATTAAGTACAAAATAACTAATGTTATGCCCAAGAAGTACCTACCCGACTAACGATTACTTTTACTGTTTTTTAAAAAAGTCAATTAAAATAATTTTATTAGGTAAAAGTTTCTCTTGAACCGACAAAATTTGTGACAATACTTTGCTTCCCGTTTTCAAATGTTTTTTTTTTTTTGTAAAACTGAAAGTTATGTAGTAGTTCTCGAGCTGTGCAATCTGATATAAAAGGGACATAAAACATTTAACGATGAAATAATTTATTCACTTGCTTTCAACAAACCTTGTCGTAAAACAACAGTTTGCAGGTAATTTTCAAGGAGGAGTAATTGTCTACTCCTCGAATGTTTCCAAATTGCTTAGTAGTTATGAACAAAAACAATAAAAACAAAAAAAATAGGGTACAAACTATCACCGGGACATAAATTATCAGAAAATTGATAAAACTCAAACCGATTGTAAAATGTTTACAGAAATAACAGTACCGTATTTTTGTGCAACACTATACATTTGATTGATTTTATTTTTCTTAGCTGTACGATTTTTTTCGAGTATGTCGCAACGCCGCCAGTCTCTTTAGTCCACTTTTTCTTTAAATTATTTTAAATATGAAATTTTATGCTCTAATTTCAGTGTTAATTTCTACAAAACTTTTGTGTTCTTTTAATCACAAAATTTTGTGGAAATTAAGGTTGAACATGTAAAGTGGATATATAAATATATTCCTATAAATGATAAACATATACCTGCGATATCATGTTAGGAAATAGATCTTTGCAAAACAATAATCATTATAAATTTTGTGTTAAGTACCATCAATATCACTAATAATTTTACAACATTCTTCTATAGTTTTATAGATATATTAATGCTAGAGAAAGATTGTACGTATAAGAGCAACTATTCAGGAATTCGTTGGATGATTGAATAGTTAATAATTAATGTTCCAGCTACAGGGATTAAGCTTTATTTATTTATAATAGCAATTCAACCATGGCGAACAAATAAACAAGGTATCTAATTATGTTGTATTATTTGTGAAAACATTTTGATATTTTCTGTTTATCATGGCCGACAATTAGATGGTCCCTTCTGTTTGTTGTTTGTAGTAGATACATACTTACATACAAGTAAGCAATATAACAATCGCAAAATATTTTTCAAATTCAAGATCTTACCTACGGCAACACAAAATGCCATCAAGCAAGAAATAAGCACTTAATTTTCTTTCCTTTTTAATGCACATAATTTAAGTTACACCTACTTAGTACCCAAAAACTCTGATGCCAATTACACCTTCTTGGTACAATATAAACCTATTCCACAACAATTACGTTCATGCGTACCAACATTAATTCGCAAGAAAACAAATGCCTTTACAATATTTAGGTTATGTTTCTTAAATTAATTGGAATTTTTATAATAAATTCAAATAACCACTTATGTAACATTTTTATGTAAAAATGTACATAGCTGAATAACTTCTTTAAATAAAAGTGTGTAAATCAATACATATACCCATTTGGATAATAAAAAATCTTAATGTCATACTTACACCTACTTATTATAAGTATGTACCTATACGATAAATAGGTACATACCTATATTCTGTGATGTATTTGATAAAGATCTTAAAATCGTTTGTTTTAATATCTACTGCATTGGGTACCTAATATAGATATACATAATACTCATACTTATACCATAAGAATAGTTAGATATTCGAATTCGTTTAGTTATAAACGAAATCAATAATTTCCTTCTTATTAAGCACTGTAAGAATCCTTTGCAATAAATTATTCACTTACAGAAGGGAATTTTCAACAAACACATAAATTTTTAATGCGGAAGTTTCTATAGATCTAATAAAATAATGTGATACCTACATCTACAACACTGCTGCTGGTTTATTCTAGTCTAGAGCTTTGCAGGTAAAGATCCTACTAAAAATCGAACAGACAAGTTTCAGTAGGCTATTTTTAGAACTACGTTTACATGAAGTTAAATAAAACCTAAATTCTTACGCTTTCAGTAAAATGATTTTAGTTTAAAACTCGTTCTTATACCTGAAGTAACCTTCCATGATGGTTAGACAGACATGAATATATCTAATATAACAAAAGAACTATAATTCAAACACCTGGCATTCTTATAATGTTTTCATGTCCTACTTACCGAATGCATTTAACAACATAAAATGTAAAAAGCTACTGCACTCATCTTCAGAATAAAATACTTTTATGTTTAATAAAGAAACCAACCATTTGTATTGGAGAAAATATACTACATATCCACATATTGCATATCTTTGACTTCTCCCACCTAATTAACGTAACTTATGTCTTCTATAGCAACTTTAATCAGGTGATTAGCAATGTACACGTACAAATAAATTAATAAAATGATCGTTGTATAACGAACTTAATTAGCCAAGTAGGTGTAGATCGTAAAATATTTGAACTTTCACAAACTGTGGTACAAATTGTAATTTTTACACAAGCACAAATGATTAGTATTTTTACATTGTTCTAGTTACATATAGCAGAAACAGACAATACCCATCGTTTTGTTAATAAATATAGGCTATCGTGTTTAAATAACTAGACTTCAACATGAGAAAGTATGATTTAAAATAAAACGGACAGCAGATACTATGCATGAAAATAACACGTTAATATCATAGATTTTACGTTTTTTATCATGGCAATTAATTTATTATTGGTATATTTTGATATTGGAGGCATTAAAGAACGGACTAAAAATTTGCAATTGAAAAATAACATTAGTCTTGATTGAAACTAAATAGATGGAATTTTTCCATGTTAAAAATTTAATTTCTGGCAATAAAAATCGTACATTAACCGAGCATACATTGACACTGGTATCAAGTTAATCAAATGTGTAATGGCTACACACAATAGTTGTAAAATTTGTAATAGAAATGCCGTCAACTTGCAAGATCCGTCCCTATTATACTCAAGATTTGTATCGTCGAAAAGTGTATAAAAATCCTACCTTTTTAGGGGCCAACTCCTCGTGGGAATCAGATAAAACCTGTATAAATATTTGCACCACAACTGTCCGTAAAAAAATTATAACATCGTTAACCGAAATTAAGAAATCACACGGGAGAAAAACTTCACGAGAAAGATGGCGTCCGCCTGCCAGTTGCCGATGAATTATACTCTTTCTTGATCATTTTATCCGATTGTTAGTCAAGAAACCACAACCATATTATTACGATTTGATAGCGCGGTATTTTTATTATACAACAGTACGAATAAAATCTTAAAATGGTCTAAACTTTAACAAAAACAACTGTTCGTAGGTCGACATGTGTTTCCATAAAACACAGATTGATCTACTTTGTAATGTTTTGTCGTTTTGCATAGAAGAGCAAAGATGTAAGCAACACGGTCGTAGGTGACAGGACTGTCGGGAAATTGGCGGTGAATGGTGGGAAAATAAACAAGCTATTATACCGGCTTAAAAGGGCGCGAAAGCCCAGACGCCCTCTGTGTGCTATTTAATCACGTGACGTCTACATTTAAATTATAAACTTTTTTTAATTAATTAATTAATTATATTACCGATAACAGTTATGAACCAAGTAAGTAGATATGATCCCACCCCTATCCAAACCATACACATAACCAATGCGTAAATGTATGCCCTTGGTTCCTTTTTACAATCTGGTATCGTCCACTCAAACACGGTCGTAATAGGATAAGTGAAAAGTTTCCAAAATATTCCTATAAAACTGTTATTGTTCCTGTTTTCTTTATTGTCCTGTTCAAGTTCTGTAAAAGTAGAAGTTTCTTAGTAGTTACTATTAGTAGTTAAATTGTTCATTGATTTTTACCAGGTTCAACGTGATTGTTTGTTGTAATGTTTTCTGTAAATGGAAAATATATTAAGTACTTTTAGAGTTTCATCATTGCTTTAACAATACCTTTTACATTGACCTCCTCGGTAATTGTAAGCTTCATATTATTCACATCTACAATTACTTATTATACACGATTGTCAATGAACTGTTTAAAATAATAAATAATCTACGTTATAACACTTACCGCTTACTTCAATTTCTTCAGTTAGTTTCACAGAAGTTTCTGCAATTCCTACAATTTAATTATTTTTGAAATAACCTTTGATGTACCCCCTTAAAGAACTATTATTATTTATTACTACTGATATCTTTTACTTTTTACTAATGAAAAGTAAAAATCGAATAACCCTTAGTGTGTTTAATAAGAGTTTGCGTTAATTAAAACTATAGGTGTTAATATTTGTGATATTCCTGTTTTTAGAGGATTGTACATAATTACATCGACACGTCCTGCAGGATCAGATGATGCTATTGAAACAGGTCAGTGATATGTGTAATTTCTATGTTCGGTGATCATTTCGCCCTGCCTGTATATCTATTTCTGGCTATTAACAGGGTGTCACACTTGAACAAAAGAGTATGATTACTTCAAATGAAAAGTAATTTATTGTTTACAGTTTTACAATAGGTAGTGTTATACATAATATGTATTAGTAAAAAATATTCATTATGGGTAACAATCAGCTCAAATCGGGTATTTCGCAAGTAGGCAGGTTTACTGGGAAGAAGTAGTTGAGTTCTATGAGGGTCCCAACAACCAAAAATATTATATAAGCAATCAGGCAAGTGATGCCTAATTTCCAGTCCAATCTTAAATAAAGAGACGTATGAAATGCGATATTACAACATAAAGGCCAGTGATCACTTATAATTAATTAATTAACACAAAATAATGTTATTTAATCTTAAGGCTTTTGTTATTATTGATTCTTTACTATCCGTCATTATTTTAGCTAAATTTTATAGTACATAAAATAATTAGAACATAATAAGCGCTCCTAAAATTATTGGAAGATGAAAGGTATTCACTAAGCTTTAAGGGGTGACATTTTTGTAAAAAAGTACGTAGAATCTCATAGTAACAACGGTTTTCGAGTGCGTTGTCAAATAGGTACTTGTTGGCATCATTTTTGTAAAATAAATAAAATANTCTATTTTTACTTTCATAATGTAGAAAAACTATTGCAAGTAGGTACATTTTATATGCCTTTAGCTAATATATTATGTATTATTTATTGTTTTCCTTTTTATATAGCTATCGGTAGAAAAAAATGGTGAAAATGGCTTTTATTTATATATTACGTTTGTTTAATTTCAGTTCGAAACAGGAAGTAAATTTGAGGTGATATATAATAACGTTAAAGAGACAAAGAATGAAGAAAAAAATCGCATTACGCTGATTAACTCAAAACTAATTAAGGAAACTTGTGTTAACAGACTTAGATTGCTTGTATTCTGGCTAAAAAGATCAGAAACTAGAACACAAAATGATACTGTTTAATAAAATTAGAAATTGTATTATTTCTTTTTGTTATCTTTGTATCTTATAATCGGCAGCGTAATAAACAAAAGGCCTTAAGGTATTAAAACAGTATCACTTTTAAGACAAATAGGTATCAAGGAAAGTTTCATAGCCCTAATTATGCGTTAGTTTGAAACGGTTACTATTTCCATAGTACCTATTTATCCTGTAATTATGACTGACATTTCTGTCATGCTTATAGTCCTTTGGCCTTTTCATTTTAAATATCAAGCATAAAATTGTACGATTTACTAGCTATCTTTTCTTTTTAAACTGTATGAATTTCACCAATTTTGTGACTCACATTTTCGCCATTCTTACACTCAAACTCAGCCAGTTTATTTTCTGTTTCTTTTTCGTTAATAATAAATTTCTCTGAACTACTATCCGTGAGGGCAGTTTTGTTTTTATTTTCGAAATTCCTTTCTGTTACAGAATTATTGTGTGATTCCTTTACTAACAACTTATTTTCCGAGTACGAACAAATATTTTTGTTCTCCATTATAATATTCTCGTTTTCCACAATTAGATTTCCATTACCTAGTCTACTGCTAACCGTATTTGGAATGTCTTGGGTGCATGTCTTATTTTTTAAGTTTTCACCTTCTTTTACGCTCTCTGTTGGATTTAAATCGTTATTGATGCTTTCGTTTGTTGCCTCCGTTCCTTTCTGAATTTCGGGACTTACCAGAAGATTACTCCACCAATTTGAAAATGCTCCTTTTGCCTGGGACAGGGCTCCCCCTAATTTTATAGAACAAATATTTAACATACATGTTTATATCTTTTTTAAAGATAAAATTTCATTACAAATATCACAGGTAATTAGCGTGACCCATATACTGACCTACAGCACGACTAGTAGTAGCCACTGCCCTTCCAGTTGATGCCATGGCCTGATTCAGCTTTCGACCGCTTTCTGTGTTCTGCATCGTACTAAAACGAAATAGAAATAATTTGGACAATTCTTAACGATAAAGTGACTATTAAACATACTGTGTCCATCTGAGTTTCATGTCAGCGACAGATAACTGACCAGAAAATGGATGACCAGGGGGCATTAATTCTATTAAGTGATCATTTTCGAAGCCTCTCCAGATTTTGAAATTGTGACTGTCCCTCCAGGCCGCCACAAAATTTGAATTGAAGTGCTCACAGTCCCGATTCGAATCTAAATATTCAATTTAAAAAGTCTACGTTTTAAACCCACAATAACATCTTTTACCTTGAGTTAAGGCAGTTCTCATGAGTGAAGTGAGGTACACTTTGAACTGTGCCCTGATCCAATCTTCTCCTCCTTCCCAACCGACTCCATCCAGAAAGACATCGTGTTTTTCTTCTGAAACATGTTTAACGACATAGTCGACAAATCTGAGGTCTTCTGTCGTTAAATGCAGTTGCTTTCTAAGTTCGACGTCTTGGCATTCAATTTTTGCAGTCTCCACATCGACCAGGACTTCGTGGAGTTGACGTTTCTGTTTGAAAAGTACGTTGGTGGCTCCAACAACGTATCCCCTTACATTAACATCACTTAAGAGGTCCATATAAGGCAGCGACAAGTACGGAAGACATAGGTAACCTGTCGTAAAAATTGGCAAAGGCAAGTGACATTCGTCGGGCATAATTTGGGCTGCTGCGGAAATACGAGAAAAAAGATTAGCTTCTGTTTCTGTTGAAGAGTTTAAATTTGGAGTTTGAGGGCTGTTGGATGTTTTCTCAGATATATCTTGCTCTAAATCATGAGATGAAGATCCAGTATCTTCTCTCAATTTCTCGTCTTCGTTCTCAGAAACTAGATTACCATTGGCTACATTATTTTGGTTTAAATTATCCTCATTTTGAGATAGTATTTCTGTTGGTTGCTTTTTAGGACTAACCTCTGGTGTTATGTCTTCATCAGAAAATTCGGGCATAGGAGACATAGGGCGTGATGGTCTATAAATTAAATGTATAAGAGTAAAGTGAAAATCAATATTTATTGTCCTTACTTAACACAAGCAGATTGATCTAGTCCTTTTTCAATCATTAAAGGATGAAGTGAAAGAAGAGTAAGAATAGTTGAACACAATGATTGAACAGGAGATCTGAAGAAAACAACTTTCCTCTCCAAAAGTAACAGTTTAAACAGTAAAAGGGCTTTATGTTTCCAATGTAGTATAAAATCCCTTGCTGACAAACCTATAAACAATTTCAAGAGTATGTAGCTTTTAAAAGGATGTTCTCATATGCAGTCTGATAGTTATTTGATTTAAAAAGCATTATAAATGAATGATTAAGTCCTCACCAACAAATATTTGTAAATTTAAGTCATTGTGCATTAAAACAGAATTTAAATGTCTATAGGTGTCTTCCAGTAATGACACTTTACTAAAATCTCCTTCATCAAAATAAGCATGGGTAATTAAGGTCATTTTAACTTCTATATATCCATATAAAGGCAGTTTACTTAGTACACAAACTGATTTCTGTACACTGCTCCTTGTTAAGTCTGCAGTTCTATTTTTCAGTTTCTATAAATAAACAAATAATGAAGATATCAAAATAAGTTATTTTCAATAAATTACCTCTACAGGAATTTGTCTAAAACATGAAATTCCATATACTGTATGTTTAGGGTTAGAAAGACTGGGTAGGTGAAAATAAACTGTGTCTTGTTCATAATTATGGGAACCATCAGGTAAAGCAAGAGTTGGCAGATACTTCCAACCAGCCGGACATTCATTGGGGGCGTCTGGCACAAGGGGCGGGAATGAATATTCCACCTTAGAAGCAATAAACTAATGTTAGGATCATGTTATCACAAAAACATATTAATGTTTAATGGGAACAGAATACCTGACAGCCCTTTTTATGATGAAAACCAACAACAATCACGTATAATATGGGCCCCTCAATTTCCGTCATATTTGATGAGTAATGTGCTGTAAAAAACTGCTTGATAAACAAATTTATTTAACTTTCGTTTGGATTTGTGACATTTTGACCACCATAATTTATTTATTATGACAATAATTTGTCAGATGACAGTACACTCATAGATTTCAATATGAATGCTCTCATAAAATAATTGATTGATAAACAATTAGTAGTAAATTAAATAGATTACTGATCGTTTTGTTATTAATGAGAAGGTGATTTAAAGCTAGCTATTTTTGATTTTTAATACGACTTAAAAAAAAGGTGTTATATTGTTGTTTTTGAAGCCATCTTTTGATTCATATTCTAAATAAAAATTTGCTATAATACCTTGTACAGCCATCTTTTGTAAGATAACTGTATCACTAATGTTCGAAAACTGTTGCTTCCATGAGATTCTACGTACTTTTTTACATAATTATCACTTATTAAAGCTTAGCTATATATGTTCCTATCTCGAAAAATAATTTCACGAGCACTTTTTATGTTTAAGTCATTTTATATATTTTAGCAAAAATTATGCCCGGAAGTATCTATTTGATATTGCACTCGAAAACGGTTACTACCATGAGATTCTACGTACTTTTTTTCTTAATAATAACTTCTTAAAGCTTAGCAAATATCTTCCATCTTGAAATAATTTCACGAGCGCTTTTTACGTTTAAATTATTCTATATACGTTTCTTAGCAAAAATATCTACAAAAGTATCTATATTTCCATACAATACACTTTCTAAAATTTAAAACATTGGTGTACATTATTATCATAAAATGGTGATATTATTTATCAATATAATTGGCATTTTTCCTGGAAAACACAATAGTAATGCTGCAGTTCATAAAAAATAGATGATTATTACTTTCGTATACACCGTACCTATATGTCTATATATACATATATATTGTACCTATATTAAGTTAATATAGGAGCTTTTAACTAATTGTATAGGAACGTCGCATATGGTATACATAAGTAGAAGTACATAACAAATTTAACAATATTATTTGTTGATGTAATTGTAAGAAATAAAATAAATGATTGTATAATAATAGAATAACAAATAATATCGGTTTCTTAAAGAATTTGTAGCAAATGCTAATCAAAATGAAACTGGTATTAATAGATAAACAAATACATGAATGATACAATTGAAAAATTGGTGATGTTAATAGTTAGTGTAATTAGTATTAACTTATATGTTACGTAAGAAATCAAAAATCGCAAAAAACTTATTCTATTTTATTGGTTATAATATATGTATAGATTATACTTATCAAAGTCTTTATTTAAATGACTGTTGTAAAATGATTATTTTATGTACGAATCAGTTTGCTAGTTAGTATCTGATAACATGCACGCAAATAATAGATTGGTGTACTTCATTAAGTAAAATAACTAGACTTATACTTATAGTTAGGCCTGAAATGGTTCATTTGTTTGCGGTAAATGGGCACAATGAATCCTTTTGCAAGTAAAGTCCTTCTAAGTTGTTTTGAAAGTATCAGTTTTCTTAATTTACTTTTAAGAAATAACGATGGCGAGAAGCTAAAGAGTATACTGAAAAATATAATTGTTTTAGTCGTATTGGCTTTGACATTAATCCTGATTGTGTCGGTAGGATTTCAAGAAGATAACTCTAAAATTACCAAAAAATTGGGAATAATCGTTCTTATAAACGACATTTTTGTGATTCTACATTTCTTGCGTCTTTCAAACTTAAAATCGATCCCGTTGTCTATTTCAAATAAATTAAAACATGGTCGCGTCTATTTCAATCAATCTTTTAACACCTCGAAAGGCTATAATACAGTCGAAATAGCAATATTCTTTTGTGGTGCTGTATTCCTTTTAATTCAGTATTTGTTTGAATGGATAACATCGACTGAATTGGCTATTTGCAAATGCATTCGTGCATTTTATTTGCACTTTCTTATCTTTGTTGCAACTTTTGTATTCTCTTATTATGCAGTCAAAATGGGGCATCAGCTTAGAGATTTAAATTCGTATGTAGAACACATCATAAAAACGAAGACTTTCAATGAGTTGGTCAACGACGAAATATTCAACTGTTTATGGAATGCTTATAACTTGTTTTATGAAGCATATTACGACTATTGGACACTTTCGGTGCGTTACTTTTTGGGGTGTGTAGCCTTCCATTTTACTGGGATTTTAAACATTTGCTATTACCTCAGCTTTATGCAGTTGTTCACAGAATGGAATAGAGAAGTCGTTTTTTATTATTCTGCTATTGTAATGTGTGTTTTCGGACGCCTTTATAATGTCAATATATGGATTTATAGATTTTGTAAATTGCAGAAAGAGGTAAAACAATTTTTTTACATTTCAGGCTTTTCCCATTTTTTTTTGTCTGTTTGGCTAGGTACCGATCTAAATTGATACGTAAAAATTAGTACTTAATTAACTTTACGAACTTTTTAGGTGTTTACTGCATACATATGTTGTATAAAAGTATTTTAAAGAATTAATTCAGGGTAGTTTCATAAATTATAGACGTAATATTGGACATGTACACTATTTGGAGAATTGCACATAGTTTTTCTAATTAATAATAAGCTTTTAATTTTTAATTGCATTGCAGATGCACCAATTAACTAATAATGTTTATAAAATTCGTGCAGGATTTCCAGAAATTCCGATTAGCGATGTAGTAAGTGTAATAATTATCTTTATGTCATTATTTGTCTACTCTTGTTTCTGTTTTTAACATGCCCCTAACAAATCCTCCATGTCCTTGTACCTAATTCTCATTTCTAGCATTTTCTGCTCATTGTAATTTAATTTCTTTTAGGAAATATCTTTGTCCATATTAAACGCCAGCAAACAATATTTTGAAGGATTTAATTTGTTCTCTTTGGGCTGGGATTTCAACGTTTCGGTATTTAAATTTATATNAATATAATAGATATAAATAATAAATTTATTTCTTAACTTAATGTCTTCAGTTATAACATATGTTGGATGCCTGAGACAAGTCGAACAATTATCTTAAAAACAATAAGAAGAATGTACGTTAACGTTTAAATGTTGATAAATCATTTATGCAAGAATAATTTTTCCTTCGTTTTGGGATGTAAAAAGCGTTGATCATTTTATAAACGACTTGCATTCAAAATTTGCAATTTTATTCACAAAAAAGTTCAAATTTGAATAAGTGGCAGTTCGCTGAACCCCAAATTTCTGTAATGTATTCCCCAATAGGACCATTCGTCTTTCAAAAGTACAAATTATAATCCCAACTCTTGCTTGGTAACAGATAAGAAATTTTTAATGAATTTCGAATTGTCTCAGGTCTCCTCCACTGTGAAGGTTGAGCATATACTTAAATACTGTAAAATTCGTACATTATTTAGGTTTTAATAGTATTTTTTCATTCACGGCTTTCAACAACTAACAACATCAGCAATAAATGTAAGAAATATAAATATCAACACTGTAGTTGAAATAAAAACACGAAAAACTGGAATAAATCGCTGATTTTCGATACCAAGGAAGTCACAAGTCAGAAAAAAAGTTGGTGGTGTTATAGGGGGATGCTAAAAGTATCGTGGACAAAAAAAGTGATATTGGATAAGATGGGAGAACAGAAGAAATGAGGAGAGGATTACAGGACACCTTTTGATGCATAAGAACCAGTTGGAGACGTACTAGGAGTAGAAACAGGAGTAAATAGGGGCAGAAATGGGCATACAACAGATTACTGTTTCTAAAGAGTTAGCTAGGGATGTCTGACGTTATAGTTGTAGAGAAATGCGAAGATTAGGTGACCTAACAGTCTTTATATTACAATTTTATTTTGTCATTTTTTGCCCCTGTATGTATTAAAACAGTTAGAAATATTTGTGTATTAATATAATTCCTAAATTCATTACTGATCCTCTTGCTATTCCAAATCTACTCATTTAATATATATCTATTTTTACTTTCATAATGTAGAAAAACTATTGCAAGTAGGTACATTTTATATGCCTTTAGCTAATATATTATGTATTATTTATTGTTTTCCTTTTTATATAGCTATCGGTAGAAAAAAATGGTGAAAATGGCTTTTATTTATATATTACGTTTGTTTAATTTCAGTTCGAAACAGGAAGTAAATTTGAGGTGATATATAATAACGTTAAAGAGACAAAGAATGAAGAAAAAAATCGCATTACGCTGATTAACTCAAAACTAATTAAGGAAACTTGTGTTAACAGACTTAGATTGCTTGTATTCTGGCTAAAAAGATCAGAAACTAGAACACAAAATGATACTGTTTAATAAAATTAGAAATTGTATTATTTCTTTTTGTTATCTTTGTATCTTATAATCGGCAGCGTAATAAACAAAAGGCCTTAAGGTATTAAAACAGTATCACTTTTAAGACAAATAGGTATCAAGGAAAGTTTCATAGCCCTAATTATGCGTTAGTTTGAAACGGTTACTATTTCCATAGTACCTATTTATCCTGTAATTATGACTGACATTTCTGTCATGCTTATAGTCCTTTGGCCTTTTCATTTTAAATATCAAGCATAAAATTGTACGATTTACTAGCTATCTTTTCTTTTTAAACTGTATGAATTTCACCAATTTTGTGACTCACATTTTCGCCATTCTTACACTCAAACTCAGCCAGTTTATTTTCTGTTTCTTTTTCGTTAATAATAAATTTCTCTGAACTACTATCCGTGAGGCCAGTTTTGTTTTTATTTTCGAAATTCCTTTCTGTTACAGAATTATTGAGTGATTCCTTTACTAACAACTTATTTTCCGAGTACGAACAAATATTTTTGTTCTCCATTATAATATTCTCGTTTTCCACAATTAGATTTCCATTACCTAGTCTACTGCTAACCGTATTTGGAATGTCTTGGGTGCATGTCTTATTTTTTAAGTTTTCACCTTCTTTTACGCTCTCTGTTGGATTTAAATCGTTATTGATGCTTTCGTTTGTTGCCTCCGTTCCTTTCTGAATTTCGGGACTTACCAGAAGATTACTCCACCAATTTGAAAATGCTCCTTTTGCCTGGGACAGGGCTCCCCCTAATTTTATAGAACAAATATTTAACATACATGTTTATATCTTTTTTAAAGATAAAATTTCATTACAAATATCACAGGTAATTAGCGTGACCCATATACTGACCTACAGCACGACTAGTAGTAGCCACTGCCCTTCCAGTTGATGCCATGGCCTGATTCAGCTTTCGACCGCTTTCTGTGT